GCAGTATATTGTGCCTAATAAATGCGCATCTCGCCTCCAAACATGCTACTATCATTGATAATGAGTTGTTAAAGCATACAGCTAGAAGCTCAGACCTCAAGGTCCTGTATGTGATCAGTATATAAGTGAGTAAGTGAATTTGCTTCACGCTCGCTTTCTACATTTTCTGCTATGTCCGATATGTCACAACATGCTGCAATGTTGGATGAACGTGACTGACGCCGGCCTGATAACATCTACAGCTTGTATGAAAGCCACGAGAATGGGAATGGTACTTATCAATCATAATCGAATCGACTGGTGCTGTCGGACCTGTTCTTAGGATCAAGAAGTCATGAACTCTTACTCTTCCAAAAGCTTGTTGTTCCACGGCAGACAAAATAAGATAATCTAACGAATGAAATAGGACTCATTTTCAGTCTGGGGAAAATCAAATATGTCTCACGAAGATGGTGTTGCTCGGTTGTATTTGTTCCACTGTAACCCATTATCAAGATCGGAATCAGCTGCCTCGTGACTGTGATCAATCACACGCGCTCTGGATGCCGGCATGGCCTAACGTTACAACCATCTACATCACCAAACTGCTAGCAGAACTACAACACGGTACAAGATATGCTTCTGTTTACGTGTCAAAATGTTCCGCGTCCACGCATCTCAGTTTCCTCTGGAAGGAGTATTGTTTCAATGCTTGACAGACCTTTTCGTCATTGTCCGTTCCGTCACATGAATTTGGTCAGTTTGCGAGGTGAATTGTTTGACTACTTTTGCGTAAGAACAATTGCAAGTACTTATTCTTCAGAAAACGGATCAGCAGAGTATTGTATTGACTTAATATATTAAACGTACATTCTCCACCCTTTACTCCTTGACCCTTGAAGACCCGGGGTAGAATAGGTCTTCAGCAACCCATGCTTGCCGTAATGAGGCGACTATGCTTGTCGTAGGAGGCGATCGTGTAGTCAGGCTCGCTGACTTGGTTGAAGCATGTCATCGATCCCAATTGCGTGGATCGATGCTTATGATATCAATCACTGGGTTGTCTGATCCAGACTCGATTATTTACAGACCGCCGTCATAAAATGAAGTAGTGATGATCAAATAACTGTCGCTACAAATATATTTTATGGAACTTATCAGTGTGTTGGGTTCAGCATCGGTTGTAACGTAAAACCTAGGAAAGTATGTAGTCACCAACATTCACAACAGCAAGCACTTGTGACAAGTGTCACCATGGATCAACTTTATGTCGCTAAACCATCTCCCGCCACTTGACCAAACCAATCGCCAGGACGCGCGACGGCCCATATCAGAGTCTGGGTCAAGGACTACGTGAGTACGGTGCTGCTGTGAAGATTTTATGGACGTATCTATGGATATATAAATGATTATGACATTGTGACCATTGACATCAAACTCTACTTATTCAGTGAAGTCGTTAACAAAACCCAACCCAACATAGCAATAGATTTATCTATATAACAGCTGAGCTTCGTTCAATATACACATTGAAACACCAACAAATTCACAAATACACTACAAATAACAAAACAATAATTTGTTATTTAGTGGTATTTTATCTTTACGAAGAAATATATTTTAACCTCACAAAAATAACAACATACATCAAACAGAAATGCACAAGTACGTCCATAATGTAGACTTTGCTTGACTCCTGAGCCATACGCGGTGACTATAGCTTTACAAATCTATCTTCAAAAGTTCAGGACAATTTGTCATCTGATGTTAACTGAGAAAGAATAAGTGAAATGATGGACTACATTCCTATAGATGGTATACATGTAAACATGTGGACAGAATATTTAGGCAAGATGAGGGTTCTCCGTAGGCATCACTTGTGTTTACATCCTTGCTGATATGTTTCGTTGTGCATATCGATCTTAACTGCTGCTGCGTTTGGTGAATAAAATACACGAGAGTTTTGGCCTGGAAGTTTAACTTCGAATTCGGAAATACCGATGTTCTGAATAGTGGTCGAGTAGACAATTACATGTAACTGCCACTGATTTATCCACCTCAACTAGGAATACAGGAGACCACTTAATCTCCTCATCCGGGAAAATATGGTAAAGTCTAAATAGGGAATTGCTTGGACATCATTTTTATTATTGATGTGTCGGAATAGGAATTGTCCTCCGCACGTCTACCACAAAACGTTTTGAAAGCCAAGACTGATTTGTGTGATGACTAAAGCAGTAAATGCAGGCAGTATACACAAAGGTTATGTTAAACTACGTATGTTTTCATTCCAATTCGTTATTTGCGCGTTGTCAAAGATTGGCCTTAAGAATGTCGAGGATAGTTGCTCTAGATCTGTTTTGGTTAATATGTCCCTCTGCGTGCCTGTGGTATCTGACAAAGACAGGCGAGACAACAGATGTATACATAGAGCAGGCAAGGTGTTAAGTTAGGAGTTCTGTCATTATCGAAATGGGGCCTGTGTTCATGGTAGCCGTTTATATTCAAGGCATTATGAAACATTATTTACTTCCACAGCAAGAAGATGATGTAACATTTTTTTTATTTCTTATATTCAAATACTTATGTTCTAGACATTCTTCGTTATTGACGTTAGGGAATGTTTATGTCTAATTCACGGTCGTTGGTATCAATGCTGATATCAAATCATCGCTTCAACAACTAACCCCCCGGACCATTCTGGCATCATTTCGCGTGTTGTCGCTCTAGACCTAATATTATACTGTTTAAGATACACATCAGTTGTCTTTTCTGTCGACAAGATGCCTAAATTTGATCTAATGCTATGAATAATCGACCAGATTGCCCGTCGTTACCCCTCCGAAAATGTGTGAAAACTCGAGAGGGGATGATACTCCGCTGAACGTAAGACTCTATTCTTGTGAAAAACATGGATGTCCTACATGCAATAAATACAACCACCCCCTCATTATACTAGTACTACAAAAAGAAAAATAATTTCATTAATAAAAATAAACTGTTCGAAACTAATGAAAAACAGTTTTACAGGCAGTTTTGGAAAAGTTTTGGAAACAAGTATGGTCAATGCCAGGTAACTGTAACATCAAGAAGCATGGGTAGAGTATTTCAATGATATTGTACATGACAAATACGGTCACCGTTGTGTTTCATTACACCTGAGTGCATGAACAATGTAATAAAAAAGTCTTTGTTGTGCAAAGGTCGAACAATACCTCTCCCAAAGAAAGGTGATTTGACTGATCCCAAAACTTTCGTCCTTTTACTTGTCTGAACACATAATACAAAATATTTACAGGGTGTCTTACATGTCCTATGTCTATGTACTGCGCTGTGTTATTATTATGAGCAGAAAGTGATGTTGGGGTTGCAAGGGTCAACTGTCGGTTAAAAAGACTGATCCCTAAAGAGGCGAAAACCAGCTAAAAGTTAATTCGTAAACGCAACGACTGGGCTCAAGAGAGAGAGAGCAATGATTAAATATGCCAATACGAGGGGTGGTCAAAACGTTCTAAGCCTGACTAGCTTTCAACTATGGGACCAAACAAAGTTTAGTAGTCATTGTAATTCTTTTTGATTAATTAGAAAGTCAGAAGACGATTACCGGTGTCTATTATGCTGATATGCTTCATCACTTGAGATATTCTATCAAAGACGAGCGGCGAAGAATGCTGACAATTGGAGGTCTATTACTTCATGACAATGCCTCTTCTCACATCCCTAGATTTACAAAGGCTGCTGTTGCTACAATGAGGGTTCCACACTCACCCTACTCACTGGCATCAAGTGATTTCCACCTGTTTCCTGAACTGAAAGAACACCTTCGTGGAAAGCGCTATGATGACAACGATGACCTCAACGCTGTCGTGAATAGGAATTTCATGGTGGCTTCAAAAACCTTTTTCCTGGCTGGAATTGAAAGGCTACACTGTCGATATGAGAAGTGTATTGAAAAGCAGAGAGATTATGTTGACAAATAAGATTAAAAACACTTTCACAATGGTTGAATTTGTTTGTTAGGCTTAGAACAATTTGACCAGCCCTCTTATCAATTGTGAGGAAGTAGGACTATCTAAATCATTTGTATTGAATGACAGGACTTTGGATTTCGAGGCAAGGTCGACCTTGTCAACATGCAGTCAATGGCTAATGTCTTGTACAAGTGGATAATGATATATCAGGACCATTTCACAAAGTATTGTGTGTTGCATAGATTTACATCTACATGTGCTTCATTCTTCAGGCAATAAGTATATTGACTGAACATTTCAGTGAATATGCACATTGCCTGAGTGAAATTTTCAGTCAGTACATATTGCCTGATTATAGACATTAACTGTAACGTTTGCGTGTGTGTGCGTGCGCGCGGGTGTCTTTGTATGTGCGTGCGTGCGTGTGTGTGTGCGTGGCTGTTTGTGTGTGTGCGTGCGTGTGTGTGTCTGTGTCATGTGTGTATACATCACTAATAGAGACGATACCCGGTATTTACGAGAAGGTTACAGCCCAATTTGATGGGACAACCATATCTCAACGATTTGTAATACTGAATTATTAAACATGCATATTCCGAGAATGTAAACTAAGTGTTTCTTTCTATTTTAACATGCAATAGCCCAGGTTAAATAAAAAACGGAGAAATCGTAAAGCGGATTGAATTAGAGTTAGCATAGCAGATAATAAATGTTGCCTGTGAATATATCATGAAGAATGTAACACACAATATTTGATCCTGTACATAATTATATAATCAGGTCGAAAATATGTAAAATACATACAGTGTAACACGTCGTTACCTTACGTTTACCACATTAAATACCTGTAAATATTTGCCTATATTACATGTATTTTGTATGAAGTTGTTCTTTCTTTTTAATAATTTTGAAGTTGTGAACTTGTGCCTTATCCATATGTCCTTTGACAATAAACTCTAAAACGACACTTTCCATAATGAGAGATAACACATCTGAACTGAATTACTACTTATAATTCATCGAGCAGAAAAAAAAAGATCAATAAAGTCGTCAGTTGTGACAGTCGTCTTTTATTAGTAAATCGTATATAATCCCCGTCCTCTACAATAAGTAATGAAAAACGAACATTCCAAGCATTATTACTTTTGAACCATCATTATTGTTCTCGCGTGACAATGTGCAGCGACCCAATGGTCTGGAGCGGCTCCTGAAAGAACGGTCTGCTTTGTGGTGTCAGAAGCTAGCGCAGCAAGTTGAAGCTAGAAATAGGAAGAAACATAAAAAGTAAACAACATGACCGAACACATGCCAAACAATTTGTGTTCATCTTCTTTTAATCACTACACTCGAATAAACCTGCAACAAAATGTTGCAACAAGATTGATTGGCGCTTTCAGACAATATATCATATATCTTATATCCATGCGCTCGATGTGCATTACTTTACAAATCATAATGGATAGTTTTTGCAACTGACGTTGGTCATCAATTCCGATTTCTTCGGATTTATTTTTTACTAATTTCTGCGTTATAATTTTGATAGTATCCGTCATATAACCATAGCACTAATGTGACATCTGACTGAACCCATCTGAATTACCTCAAGGGCCTCAATCTTAGCAGGGTCGTGGACGTCCAACTTCTGGGCATCGCTCAGCGCCCACAGATAGCAATGAGTTTGGGTTACCATGACCATTTCGCCCTGTGGGGAAACATTTAGCATTCAGAGGAATGGGCATGGATGTCAGGTTCACACGTTTATGCGTTAACGACTTGCATCATTAGGTCAGGAATATCGTCAAGTTACTTAATGATTTATTCAAATTTAACAATTAATCCTGTTTTATGTTCAATCATTTCTCTTCGACAAGGTGTATTAATCGTTTGTGTGACTTTATTGATGTGATAAGACTTACTGATTGTTTGTCATAGGCAAAGGTAAATTGTCCGTGCTCATTTCCACCGTGGGCACCATGCGTGGGATGAACGTGAACGTCGTGGGTGGCGTGTGTCTTGACTTCGTGGGTGGCGTGTGTCTTGACTTCGTGGGTTGGGTGAGGTGGATGGGTGTGTTGAGCCTAGAAACAGCATAAAACATTATCTCATGTGATGCATTTTCAAAAAATGTTTGGCTTGTTCACGTTCGTACACATCTACATGTCATGCAACCAATGACTGTAGAGATAGGAAAGATACACTATTGAGTATGTTTTCACTTAAAAGGTTAATATCTGCTGATGAAATTATCTGAATACCTATGAATTGTCATTGTGATAATAGCATGAACGTATGTTTCGTATACATAAACGTTTATTTTCTTGTAACGCAATATATGTACGACGGCAAATTGATGAAAATGAAGTTAAACAATTAACCAATATGTCCTAATGGTCTGGCGCTTGTTTGTGTCCACAAAGTGAAATCAAAATAGAATTGTCTCATAACAGCAGTTCCGAGAAAACGGAACACTAGTTTAAAGTCCTCACCTCAGCTAGCAAGACAACACAGGCAATAAGGGCAATCTTCAACATGGTGGATTCAGGTTGAATTCGGTAGCGGCAGATGAAGTATGGCACTGGCGATCCTCTTTATACACGTCCCTATCAAGCTGCATTCTTTCGTCTCTTAAACTATGGACCTATTAGAGTCATGATTCATAGATCTTCAGCCGTTCCTTGTCATGCACATTTGCTTGTTCACACGGACTTCCATTGATCTTATCACACGATACCTGTGTTTAATTACACATTCAGCAGCGATGATATTGTGGTCAATGTTAAAATAGTTATAATATTTCAATCAAGGAAACAAATCCTTCATAATGTATCCTAATTATGAAATTAAACGTCGTAATGCGAATTATGAACTAGTATACATTTAAGTCTTTGATGGGAATTATGTACATTAACCTTATCTCATTGGCTTCGTCATTATATTGTTTGTACATTTATCCTACCTTATGTTGTGTAAAAATATCATAATGTATATATTAAGAGCAAGAAGAAGCTCCGAAACGCTGTGACAAAGAAAAAAGGAAATTGTTATCCATAAAATGTGTCATGAAGTATACATAACATATGGAGAATTAATGGCATCGGATAATGTATGTGACATAACAAAATCTCTTTTATGTTGCAATGAAACTAAAGCATATGACTGCACTGCTTTGCTTGCATTACAGCACAACAAGTAACGCTAAACAGGTACAGCAGTGCAGATATGGTTTATTTCAACTTTTTGCATGAAGTTATTTTTGCGGTCAACCCTCACTGAGTTCATGTATATTAATTGTTGAAATTTCTAAATGTTATTTACCTATGAAATGGACATCTCTTCATGACCAGAGATTGATCAATTAGATTACATACTACATTCACGAAACTTTCCATATCTATGTGGTCCACTTTATTTTTCCCTTATCTTCCATCAGTGATCGAGGTGAAACGTGATATAACCGGTTCGAACTTTTACTTTCAAACTGGAACATCTGTCTTTTTGGTTGACCTCTTAAGTGTCTTTTTTTGTTTAAATTTGGAATTTTTAATTCAGATAACTACTGTTTGGGTCCTGTCGCCATCAAACTTTGTTAAATGTTAAATGTGGGATCAGTTCCTGGGCATATCTTATTCATTACTATATTTATATCTATATTTAGCAGCTTGAAGTACACAAAAATCTTCTAGCCATAGAAATCAAACTTGGAGAGTAAATGGAAAAATGCAAATACGATCTGATATTTTTTCATATGATTTTAACATGGGGATAACAATTGTGCGCAATATTACCAAATGTTATAGAATTAATGGTCTTGAGAAGTCATGGCTAACTGCGAAGTGGTAGCATATAGAGTTTAATATACTTGATGAATTCTGATGATTGACAACAGAGAAATTCACATAACAGGTATGGCAAAGTTACACATTATACATGTCCTGGTACAGGATATCGTATCCACTACATGTATATGCATGTTTGACGTGCTTGTTATGTCGTATCCTGATGTCCACAGCGCGATTATTCCTGTTATCTAAAATACAACCATTATTCGTACCTGATTCAGTACCCACTTTCAATTATCAGGTACAACGTAATTACGGTAAAGTGTCAATTAATCTCTGTCATATCTATCAACTTTATGATGAAAACAATGTTGGAGTATTTCTAATCTCATTGTAATCAAATCTTAGTTCTAAGTTCTCGCTATCGCTAAACAAAGTTATGAGGACATCCCATTATGGGTCACGTCAGAACGACCTTTATACGACCAATCAAAGCGTCGCTTACCAGATCATGAAAATGACAGTCGGAATGTTTTTTCTAATCATGCAACCTCGAAAACGTTAACACGGGGTATTTCGAACGACAGTTACGGCTCGTACGACTGATTCCGTCAAAATATCGTCTATCTCTCGCTTCCGTGGGATAAACATTTGAACGGAGGAGGCATTGCACAGTACGTAGGAAGCACTGCCATACACTCTCAACGATATATTAGACATTCCGGAATGTGTGTTTGTTCAGTTTTCAAAATATTAATCGAGAACTGTGTCAATATATATTTTTCAAGCATGGAATTCGCTAGGTTGAAGCGAGTGCCGTAAAGCTGGAGAAAATTGCTTTCTGATTGACTGATGTCGACTTCTTGTTAGTCATTTCAGTCCTCAGATCTTTGTGTAGCGGTAGCGAGAACTTAGATCTGATTTGAATGAGATTGGAGTATTTCATAATAACACTTACTTATTGAAACTGAATAAAATTACATATGCTTGTGCCTGAGTGCTTGCACACGTGTGTGTGCTTGCGTGAGTGTGAGTATGTGTGTGTGTGTGTTTGTGCGTGTGCGTGTAAATGTGTATGTGTGTATATGAGCGTGTGTGTATGTGTGTGCTGTTATCGTGTACCTTGACATGACGTGTTTTATATTAAACATGTGTTATATATTGATGTCACTCCAGTAAATATATGTATTCACAACTGTCAAAAGATAAGATACCACAAATAGGACAAACGTAGAATAAATACATCCGTGGGAAGAAGCCATGTGCAGGTTATAATGGCACTGTTGGATGCCTTGAGAAGGGAAATACAGTTTAATATGGCATATAACGTCGCTGCTGACAATGCATCGGTGATATTAGTTTTGAAGATCTCCCGGAAGGAAGGAATGGTGATTTGACCGTTAACCTTTGGCATCTTGGGTTGTATATCAAGCATGGAAAAGCGCAATACAAATGGATAATTATTATTGTTATTCACAGATTAAAATAGATAAATGCAGCGAATGGAATTTCTCCTAGGAAGCGCTGCCTAATCGAACCCACCAAAATTTTCGGGGAATGTGAAGAGAATTATTGTAATAACACGGATTCTGCAGAATAAGTTTCGGAGTATCATGTGTTAGGAAAAGGAACAACAATCAGGACAACAGTCCCCGGAGCCCTACGACATGAAAGGCATCATAGTTTATCCCCCATTGGTGTCAGCTGTCTGATGGCATCTTGGACTGGGCATTAGGACATTACACCTCATTTCACCTAAATCCACCTGTGCCATCTTTCAGACCGTGTTTGTATCCGCGATTACAATGAACAGATCAAAATGTATTTGGCGCGAATGTCATGATTTTAAATGCCGATAACTCTTATTACTTATTACTCAAGAAACAGTTTAATAAGGGGCCTTAGGAATTAGACTTCCTCGGAAAGACGTTAACGTGGATGTGCAAAGTAAAGTTAATTAAACATACAACATAATAGATTAGTTAATATTATTCCTATCAGTTTTGGTGTACATTTGCTATTTAACGTTAATGATGTCTTCCTTGGACATTCATATTTTTACAGTCGTAATGGTAACACATTTAATACACTAACCAAACATTGACAAAAGTTCTGACCCGAACGTTGAAAGTGAACTTTTGATTAGGACACTAAAATAACTTAACATTAAGGAATATTGGTATATGCAGTCGCATTGTGGAACTACATATAGACCAACGGAAATTCAACGATCGGCCAGGCTTTGCTTTCTTGGCCATTTATTCCACCATGAAAACAGGACAACGTAATTAGCTGGGCACGGCGCAGCTCCGATGTTATTACCCAAAACAAACACCAACCGTGAGACATCATCATCTAACTATCATATGCTCGAAAATCCACGAAATGATTAAAGCATGTTCCTTTAACCAGGCTACTGGAACCCCCTATGAAATAGCGATAGTGTAACAGAACCATATGCATAACACACCTCACTGAAAGGTCGTACAGCTGCTTTCTGTGAAGGAAATGGTGGAATTTTAACGATACGCCTTGTCCATGGTATACGTTCGCGTCGGCTGAGTTTGAGTGAGTGGTGGTTGGCATTGTTTCGGCGTCACATTTAAATTAACTTCTAGATTGGTACACACACTAAGTGGATTCAAACACACACCCAGCTATACACCAAACCATAGCTAACTTGCAAATCATCTTATCATCTGACAGTGAGTGAGTGAGTGAGTTTGGTTTTACGCCGCTTTTAGCAATATTCCAGCAATATCACGGCGGGGGACACCAGAAATGGGCTTCACACATTGTACCCATGTCGGGATTCGAACCCGGGTCTTCGGCGTGACGAGCGAACGCTTTAACCACTAGGCTACCCGACCGCCCCTATCATCTGACAGAGATATGTCCACATATAAAGTGCACTGACGTAATGCATTCAACTATTGGTATATTCTGTTTTGAAGTCGATGTACAGACAGGTATATATAATGGAGACATTCAAAATAAAAATATCTAGTAATGCTAAAGTGTCGTCTTTCCATTTATTTTGAGAAGGTTTTTAGTTTATGGATACTATTTTAATGTGCTGGCTTCATTGTTTCTGGATTGTTTACTTTCTAATACAAAATTGATTGCCTCGTGAATTGAAATCTCTGGCTGAACTGAACTGAACTTGTATTTACACTAAGGCCGCTATCAGCATCATCAAAAGAACAGACTTATTTCAACAACATAATACATATACATATAAATGTAGACTAGATACAAAAACATCTTTGTCGCGCATGCATGCATATTTATGCAGATTCACTATGGTAGCAATATTTGTGCAATTCCATAAGGGGGGAGAGTTACTAGATAGGTTTAAACAATGACATGATGGTTTTACAGAATTTGGACAATTTTCGAAATGTACCTAATCGTGAATTATTGAAAAGTTAATTTATTTTAGCCATATTGGGTTCGATGTAAGAGTGTAAAAAGTGTTTTCTTTCGTTTTCTAAAGATGGTCAAATAATAGAATTCATTGCCTAAGTCAGACAGTTTACCAAGTGGTTATTTCCCTTCGGTTAAATGTATTTTTCTCCATCTCCAAGTTTCAATAGGTAGGTTACAAGTTCTAAACCTAAGTAAGATTCGCCAAACGTTTAAGTTATATTAAAAATTTAGGCAATCATTTTTTATTATACTATACACTGTGTCCTTTGAAGCATTATCTCTTTACTTGTCCAACACTGGAGATTAATGTTTTAGATAATCAAGTAGGAATTGTGAAACTTTGTGAAAACCAGATGAAGCTAAGTCCAAGTTCGTCAAAATTCGTTTGATAATTGTAATCCATTTATGCATACATTTTCCAAACAGGTCGTCA